CACACACACACACACACACACACACACACACACACACACACACACACACACACACACACACACATACACACAATCCACCATCTGTAGACACTGGCCCGCCTGCGCTGGTGATTGAGGCGGATGTATTTCTCGCCTCCGAGCTGCCGCCCTCTGGTGCAAAGCTCGACATCACCCTCACGTATGGGGAGTGCGCCCAGGATGAGTACGCGACCTACGACTTTGGCTTCGGTGCGTGCCCATGCCGTGGCCAATGATATTCGTGCACGCACACGTGCGAGTGTGTTTATGTGCGTGAGTGTGCTTGTGTGTGTGTGTATGTGTGTGTGCGATTTGTTGCGAGTGGCGCATGCTCATGTTGTGCAACTGCAATCCCTTACCCACTACCACAGAGACACTCACGTGTGCTGCTGAGCCGGATGTCTTTGAGCTCTTTACCTTCGACAACAACGAGTACGCTGATGGGCATGTGCACTTGCCCTTCCATGTCATGCCCACTTCTTCTGGGATAATTACCTCCTTTGCCACCACGTTCACACACACACACCTGCACTACGTGACACCTCCCACGTGCTCACGTGACACGGCATCTGTCACCACTGCCACTGATTTGACATCAGCATGAGCGGTCTTGGGGCAATGACGCGATCAACGTCGTGCTGGCTCTTCTATGACGACCGCAACGGCGACAACTACCTCACCATCGATACGGACTGCCTGCCGGACCTCGCCACGCAGTGAGTTGCGAAGACGATAACATGCATGTGTGCACACATGCAGAGGTGAAAAGTGTCCCCAGCCGCACACAAACACATTAATACACGTTGAGTACTCGTCTCATCTCATCCCATCGTCTCACTTCAACGCCGCCCGCTTTTCCCGCTTCCATTGCTCGTGTTTGCGTGCGTGTTGATCGTGTGTGCGTGTTCGCGCGTGTCAGGATTGCGCTGCCATCAGATATGACGGTGTCGATGTGGGTCAAGTTCCCCTCCAACATCCTATACTTCCTCTACACCACGCGCCTTTTTCGCTTCCGCAACGGCAATCAGATTGTCAAGTTTGAGGTGGCCAGCAACAACATCCCCCACCTGTACATTTCCGATGCCACGGGTGCCACCATTGGCGATCTCTCTGCTCCGTCTTCATGGTACGTCCTCGCAATGCTTGCAAGCAATCATCCTGGGATCTTGGCCGTTGTTTGATGTGAACGAACATTGGCTTGGTGCTTGATGTATTCCAGACCACACACGCTGCTGCTATTCCCTCCCTTCCCCCTAACCAGCATGCTCCCGCCATCACCACCACCACTAACACCACCACCACCATCACCATCACCACCACCACCACCACCACCACCACTAACACCACCACCACCATCACCACATCCTCGGTATTGTTGTATGCAGGGATGGTATCTTCTCGACCATCAGCACGAACAAGTGGAACCACTTCCAAGTGTCGTTTGGCGCCTCGGGCATGTACATCTACTGCAACGGCATCCTGATCGCCTCCTCGCCAGCAGCGGTCAATGTCGGCTCGTTGGCCACCGGCACAGAGGTGCGCTTGTGCTGAACCTCTACCAGTGTGATTGAGCCTGCCGCGCTGGTGTTGTTTGACAGCGTTTGGTGTCAGTGCGTTGCAATGACATTTCCCCACACGTGTATGACCTCCATTTCTCACATGCACACACCACCACCGCCACTACCACCACTCGACCCCGCACGTCTTTGTGCGCTACCAGTTCAAGCTTGGGTCGGGCTACACAGTCTGCGACGGCCTCGGCATTGACAACGTGGCCGTGCTCTCCGGCCAGCTCACCCCGCGCCAGCTCATGCATCGCCTCCCCATCCGCGGCTGTGTCGGGTTCTCCTGTGCCGTCGACTTCCAGAGTGAGTGCTGCGTCATGCATGTGACACGATGGAAACGGTGCTGCTGATGATGTGACCAGTGGATGCGCTGGTGCCAGTTGAGTGCGGTGGTTGTGTTTGCTTTCTGATTGCCTCATGGTTGTGATGTTCCGCCTTGCAGATGGTGTTGTGCTTACGACAACAACAACAACAACAACAACTACAACAACAACAACTACAACAACAACAACAACAACAACAACAACAACAACAACCACAACAACAACACACACACACACACACACACACACACACACACACACAACAACAACACACACACGTGCAACCATTAGCGAATCTCGGGCTGAGAACGCTGTCGTACCCATTCCGATATTAACTACGCTGCATCACGCGGGCAACGATTGGATTATCATTGATCGGTTGACCTCTGGGAGGGTACATGCGTCCACGAGCAATCCGCCATCGCCTAGGAGTCGTGAGATGCGGAATGCTCCAGCGATTGTAAGCACAAGCTACGGGAATGGACGCGCTTGAGTCCTGGACTAGGGCTCCGAAGTACGGTAGGATGGGATATACATAAAAAACTAACGCAATGTGAGGGAGGGAATGATTGCTACCGCCCCACCCTGCTCAACGACAACAACAACTTCTACAACAACAACAACAACAACTTCTACAACAACAACAACAACTTCAACAACAACAACAACAACTTCTACAACAACAACAACAACTTCAACAACAACAACAACAACTTCAACAACAACAACAACAACAACAACAACAACAACAACAAAAACAACTTCAACAACAACAGCAACCACCACGACTTCGTCAAGTACCGCCCCCACCACCACATTCATTCCCACATCGTCCACCACGTACGTGTGCACCAGCACTCCTTGGGTCTCTGACACACCAGCCCCCGGCTTGTTTCTTGCGTGTATGCTCTCTTGTCGATTGATTGTTTGTCCATGTGTTTGCCTGCGTTTTTCACATCTCCTGACACCCATCCACTTGTCCCAAACACACACACACACACACTCACATACACACGCATACACGCATGCTTGCGGCTGTGCAGGTCTTGCGCTGCTGACCATACGGGAACGGACAACTGGCCACATGCTCCCACGGTAAGCCAACCAACACCACACCTATGTTCGTGCCAATCTCTGTCATGGCACACTACGCAAATCATCACTGCGCACACACGCGAGCACCTGCCCTCCCTTTATTTCATACGATTCACCATTGCATGTCCACCACCAATCCACCACCACCACCACCACCATTCCGACATGCGTCACGGATTTAGGGCGGCCTGTACTCACTGCCGTGCAGTGCAGGCTCAACCCGTCGCGTCTTTCGCATCTGCTGCACTCTCACCTCCGTCGGCACCAGCCGTGCTGGCTCAGGTACACACACACGCACACACACACACACATGTGGTGATGTTGTGGTTGCTGTTCTTGTGGCGTATCTCTTTCGCTTGTCGCAATCATTTCCCTTTCTTGAACAAGCACGTTCAAGGCCGTGTGGTCTTGTGTTTGTATCGTATTTGCATTCACGTTCACTCACAACACACGCGGTCACACATGCGCCCACACACTCGCTCATGCACATGCTCACACACGCGCAAACACAAACATGCAAACATGCAAACATGCAACCACGCTGCAGACGTGTGCATCCGGAGCCGGTTTGGGACATGGCTGCAGCCCGACGCGAGCGCGTGCTTGAAGGATGTGACAGACGCGCTGGACAGCATCGCTGACGGGCTGGTGCAGTCAGGGAGCCACGCAAACAACAACGCCAATGACAACGCGCACAACAACGGCAACAACGGCAACAATGGCAACAATGGCAACAACGGCAACAACGGTAACAACGGCAACAATGGCAACAACGGCAACAATGGCAACAGCGTTGATGTTCAGAGTGTTTCCAACGACATCGCCGATGCCCTGAATGACGCAACCGCACGAATCCTGGGCAACTCATCCACACCGACAACGTCGACCGCCCCCCTCACACCAGAAGAGATCAGAGCCCGACAGGACGTTGTCCTGCAGAGCGTGCGCACGCTCGCCGTGCTTGCAAACACCGCCGCGTACAGCAACCGCACAGTCACACCTGAGACGCTTGACCGCGTGTTTGATAGCTTCAACACGCTGGCGTTTTCGTCCGGCGCCGCATCGCTCGATCTCAACGCCTCGCAGGTTGAGAGCCAGCTCGCTGACACGGGCGTCACCGTCGACACCGCGTCCCCGTTTGCATTCACGGGCGCGCTGCTCGGCATGGTGCACCGGCTTGCAGGGGCAGTGACCAGGGCCACGGGCGCATTCAACTCGTCCACGCCAGACGCAGGCGTGGAGGTGGTGCTTTCGCCTGTCAGCCGAACACGCATCTTTGAGTACGCGTCCACAAAACCCAGCGGTCGCCGTGTGCAGGCTGAGGTGCCGCTTCCTGCCGAGTTCACCGCCAACAACAACGACACCGTCGTGTCTGTGCTGTACTTTGATCCAGAGCGCAGCAGCCAGACACTGCCCGCCAACCAGGCTGCCGTGGCCTCCCCAGTGATCGACGTCAGCCTCGTCTCAGCAGCGGATGGCTCCAAGGTTAACACCAGCGGCATTAACGGCCTCTCCTTCTCCATGACGTTTGAGACGTCGTTGCCCGCAAGCACGGCTGTTCCCGCCATGCTCAGCCGCTACATGTCGCCCGGGTTTGAGATGCCAGCCATTCTGGCAGAATCTGCGGAGATTGTGGGCGTTGCGCCCGCGAGCATTGACAACACCACGCTTGTTCTCCGCGTGGCCCTTCTTCCCATCGACACCAGCAGCGAGGACGCGGCCCTGATCCAAGAGGGCGTGAAGGAGCTCAAGTCCACCCTCACCCGCAAGTGCGACCCTGCCGTGCATGGCCCCGTGTGCCTGGATGACACGACCAGCTCCATGTATGTGCCATTTGCGCCGTCCTGCAGGTGGTGGGATCCAGCCACCGATGCGTGGGCGGGCGAGGGCTGCGTTGCTTCCGACGTCGCCGTCATTCCCCACCCCTCGTCATCATCATCGTCATCGCCTGCCTCGTCGTTTGTGCGCGTGGCCGCCGGTCAGATGCCCACGCTCGAGGTCACGTGCACGTGCACGCACATGACGAGCTTTGCCATCCTCGTCACCAACGCAGACAGCGCCGTCGCTGGTGGCGCGCTCTCTGCCGAGCAGGAGGGACTGACGCTCCTCACGTACATTGGCACGGGCCTGTCGTGCCTGTGCCTGCTGCTTACCATCGTCGCATACATGGCGTTGTGGAAGAAGCCGTACGTGCAGCAGCACCACAAGTTGGTGGTGCACATGTGCGTGCCGCTGCTGTTCATGCAGCTGCTCTTGCAGTTTGTGCTGCAGCCAGACCTCCATGACAACTCAGCCGTCTGCCTGCTGGTGGCGCTGCTGCTGCACTTCTGCCTCCTCGCCATCAGCGGGTGGATGCTGTGCATCGCCTATGACATCCACTGCACCTTCGTCTCCGTCTTCAACAACAACAACAACACCGCCACGTGGAAGCTGGCCATGTACGTGTACACCGCGTGCGCCGCCATTGTTGGCGTGTGTGTGTTCCTGGACCGCAAAGACTACAGCACCTCATCCTACTGCTGGATCGACATGGCCTCCCATCTTCGCTACGCCTTCCTCGTCCCGTTTGCCGGGTCCCTCCTCATCAACACCGTCGTGCTCGTGCGGGTGCTGGCCAACATCAAGCAGCGTGTGCAGCTCAAGACAACCGTCATTGCCGGCCTGGCGTTCATGTGGATCCTCGGGTTCTCCTGGATCTTCGCCATCATCGCGCTGTTCAACGACCACATTGCCCTGCAGTATCTCTTCACCATCTTCACGCTTGGCGAGGGCATCTTCATCTTCGTGCACTATGTCGTGCGCCACACCAATGTGCGCGAGGCGTACGTGCTGTCGTCCCAGACGAAGCTCGAGCGCCGCCAGATCACCATGCTCAACGCAAAGGCCAAGGACTACTCATCGTCAGGCACGCACAAGCGCACGGGCACAACCGGCGTTGGTGCTGGCGACTCGTCCACCGTCAGCTCCATGTGGGACATGCGCAACGAGCCTCCAATGGAGAGCACCAAGTCCCTGGCCGACACCGTTGGTGAGTCCTCGTCCACGTTCAAGCTGCGGCTGCCACGGCTCAGCAACCGCCACTCCGCAGCCCGCGTGGTCTCGTTTGACAACGGGCGGGCCGTGTCCCCCGACATCTCCGTGCACATGGGCGATGACTGTCCAGATGACATGGGCATCGTGGCGCGCTATGCACAGCAGACGCCGCCCAACACGCCGCCGTCGCCGTCCCGCCAGCGCGCCCGACGCAGCCGCCGGCACACAAACCGCATTGCCCAGGACGACGTGCAGTTGGCGCTCAACACGTCGCGCAGCGCAACCGCGAGCCCCATCAGCCCGCCGCCAGACTACCTGCGCAGTGGCCTGAGCACGCCAACGTCGCTCGTGGAAGCTGACCTGAGCATCGACCCAACGGATGGGGATGACGACCACCACCACGACCACAGCACTTCCAGTATCGTCTCCTCAGACTGTTAGAGGACGCGTTGGCGCTGCACTGGTGCTGCTGCTGTGGCCAACACGTCTGATGGACATCGTCTGTGCCATCGCACGCTCTATGCTTGTCCTTTCTATGTGTGTATGAAATAGCCTCGTTGGTTTCAGTTGAGTTTGAAGGTTTTGTTGTTTTCTTCTCTCTTTGTCAGTGTCTGTAGGGTGGCTGCTGCCACGGCATCGTCTCGTATTTTTTTCAATGCTTTGCTTTCGTTCGTTACACTCTCGCTCGCGTGCGTGTGTTTGTGCTTCGTTAACCGAACGCAACTGATGCGGTGCTTATTTTGTTTACCCGTGTCTATAGAGTTCATGTGATGGTATTGTGGTACATACGCATGTTACTGCTCATCCTTTGTGTTTGTTTGTCTTCGCTTTTTCATCTCATCTCATGTCAACTGTCGCTCCTTACGTGCCGTCAACTCCTCACCTTCCTCTTCATTCCTCATTTTCTCCTCTCCTCTTCACCTTTGGAGGCGGCCAGAGCCGCTTGCTGTTGTTCTTCGTTCTTTGCATGCATGGTTCATCGATATCCCCGTTGTCACTTGTCATCACATTTTGCTTTGGGCCTTTTCTTTGTGTTTGTGCATTTCAAGTCGCTGTGCTTGTGTTTGACGCGTGTCTCGCCAAATTTTGTCTGAAGTTGTAGTCGCATTGTGCTGTCTTTTCCCTCATTTGTGCTGTGTTGGGCTGGTCTTCACCATGGCGCTAGGGGAACAAAAATGTTGGTGCAGATGCGATTGGTTCGTTTGTTTTCTCTTGTTTCTTCTCCCTCGAACATACTGTGTGTTCTTCTGTCCACGATATGTGTTTTGTTTTTTTTTTCTGTTTTCAGTTGATGCTGAAGAGTTCATGATGACTGCATTGGTTCATAAACGTCAATGCCACACAGCACGTAAAGATGTCGAGAAAGTAACACACGTGTAATGCACAAAGAGCTCCAGGCACAACAACAGCATGCAAGCAATGAACACACACACACACACGCACACACACGAACACGAACACGCACAGCGAATCGCGTCGTTACTCGATTTCGTGTTCGAAAAAGTCAATGAGACTGTTGAAGTCGTAGTTGTCCAATATCGCCGTCAGCGTCACCAAATGCGGCTTGCCGTTCAACCCCTGCGGTGTGTGTGTGTGTGTGTGTGTGTGTGTGTGTGTGTGTGTGTGTGTGTGTGTGTGTGTGTGTGTGTGTGTGTACATCAGGATGGCGAGCTCGAGCAAGTAATCGCGAACACAGGCGACAGCGCCATTACCACCGGCAAGAGCAACACCACTCACGAGGGCTTTGCATTTGTCGATGAAGAGGTCGGTGACGACACCGTAGAGGCGTTCCAGCTGACACGGCTGGCTCTCGTACTCCGCCATCAACTCAGCAGCGTGCTCTGGGTAAACGTGGATGTGCGTGCAAGTGTGTATGTGTGCGTGTGAGTGGGGTAAGAGAAAGGCGAGGGGAGAGGCTGGGTTACCATACATAGCGCACACATCACAAGCAGCGCCCCAGCAAATGCGTGCATGTGTGCATGTGCGTGACGGTACCGAGGATGGCGCGGTATTCCGCCGAGAGTGATTCGCGTCCGCCCTCCTGCGTCTCCAATTCCTGATGACGGCGATGATGATGATGGCGGTTAGGTGGTGGTGATGGCGTGTGGACTTCAACACGAGGGTGCTTTCATCGCATCGTACGAGCAAGCGCTGGTTCCACTGCAACCACTTGCTGCACACACCGTCACAACGCGACAGCCCCATGTCGGCCTCTCCTCTCGACATCAACGCGTGCTCACCTTGAGGGTCTGGATGATTTCGACCTTTCGCATGAGATCAATCTGGTGCTCGAGTTTCGGCGCCAAGCGCTCCAGCACATACACGCACGAGTGCGGATCAACATCTGTGTGTGTGTGTGTGTGTGTGTGTGTGTGTGTGTGTGTGTGTGTGTGTGTGTGTGTGTGTGTGTGTGTGTGTGTGTGTGTGCGTGTGTGTGTGTGTGTGTGTGTGTGTGTGTGTGTGTGTGTGTGTGTGAGGGGGGGGGGGTTAGGGTTGCATGGTGTGGTGAGTCGATTGGGACGAGGCATGGACAGCGAAAACAAAGGCAGGCGAGACTCATGAACGGAGAAAGAAGATGAGAAGCGACAAACACACACACACACACGCACGCACGCACACACACACACACACACACACACACACACACACACACACACACACACACGACACCAACCTTACCTTCTGTCAATGTGATTGTTGCGTGCAGTTGCGCTGTGCTAAATGATGTCCTTGACTTTGGCGAGAGTGGACAGATTGTCCTACTGAAATATTGCATTCCCGTCCCTGCCCACAAGAGCAATGAGCAGGCACGTGTGTGTGTGTGTGTGTGTGTGTGTGTGTGTGTGTGTGTGTGTGTGTGTGTGTGTGTGTGTGTGTGTGTGTGTGTGTGTGTGTGTGTGTGTGTGTGTGTGTGTGTGTGTGTGTGTGTGTGTGTGTGTGTGTGTGTGTGTGTGCGTGTGTGTGTTCTGTGAGCACGTATGTGTTTTATGTGCGTTGCGAGGCAACCACGTCCAAACAACAGGTCAACATGCTCCCGCAGCGAGCCGCGGCACTGACGCGAGCGTGCAGGTGAGGGCGGTGCCGATGAACGTGGAGCGGAACGCGTACGAGACGGAGGGCGACGTTGGCAGCCGCGATGGAACCTGGACATGATGATGACGATGATGATGGCGATGGTGGTGGTGGTGGTGGTGGTGGATAAAGGATGGTTAACCAAGTCAAGTAGGAAGGGAAGGGATGCGAACATGAAAATTTCGACAGACAGACAGAGAGGTGGATTGACGAGCAGGTGAGCAGGCAGATACGCACGCGCACTCGCACTTCGCATGCACGCGGGTGTAAGCAACAGCGCGTCTACCTCAGGGAGACACTGTGCGAGCCAGGAGTGGACGTCAGCGAGAGCAAACGACCCGTTGATCTCCAACTTGTTGACAAGGCTGACGATGACACGTGATCATGGTGTTGGCGGGGTTGACAGTGATGGTAGAGTGAGAAGCGTTGTAAGCAGATTCGTTGGGCGGAGATGTCATCCTCACACACACACACACACACACACACACACACACACACACACACACACACACACACACACACACACACAGCGCAATCACCCCACTTTGCGTCGTCGATGGGCTTGAGCGAGCGTTCGTGCAGTGCGAGCGCGCGAATCGGCAGCTCGCGCCTGTGTGCAATCTTCGGTTTCGTGCGCGGGACCACGAACACATTCAACGTGCCGTGCTGGCCCTCAATCGAGCGCAGCTGAGCAATTGGGGGGAGATGTTGGTTGATTCGTGATGGCGTAGGTGTTGGTGTGTGCGATGTGTGTGTGTGTGTGTGTGTTGGTGTGTGTGTGTGCATGAATCGTGTTGAGTTGTCGATCAACTGAGTCGAGGCCACGAACATGTTGCATGACGACGCGTTCAACCCATCATCATCATCATCATCATCATCACCACCACCATCAACACCATCATCATTAACTCACGCGGACATCGAGTTTTGTGATTCCGTCCTCACAGCGGTACGTGGCCAGCACCGCGCTGCCATCCTGATCATGGTGGCGGTGGAGGGGCAGTTGATGGTGGTGGTGGTGGTGGTGGTGGTGAGAATGGAAGGGTGCGGGGCCACTGAGCTCTAGCTTTTGGTGGCCCACGTTCAAAAGTGTGGCCATCTCTACCACTCACACTCGCACCACCATCATCATCGCAACCACCACCATGTGAAACTCACGGAGCCGCCGCTGGTGAAGGACGCAACGGCCTTTGAGTGGCTGACGTCAAGCAGATCAAGCGGGACATTCGACTGGAGAGGGTGGATGGGGTGGAAGAGAAGGAAGGGATGGAGGAACAGGTGGGTCGCGAGAAGATTGCTGTGCATACGGCTGCAAACATACACACACACACACACACACACACACACACACGTGATCACATGCACACATGCACACACACACACATACTCACACGCACGCACACACGCACACAGACACACACACACACATGTGCACACTGCTTAACCTGGAGGAGAACAAAGTCGATTGAAACGGAGGTTTCGATGGAGAGGAGATAGCTGGCGAGCTGGCTTCGAAGCTCAAACTGAACACATACACGGCAACGGCACGAACAAGCGTGAGCGAAGTGATAGAGGGGAGGGAGGTGGTGCAAGCGGATGACAGTGCATAGAGCGCACGCATACATATGTAGACACAGACACACAGAGACAGACAGACACACACACATACAGACACGCATACGCATACGCAACGTGCGCGTCTCACGTTACAGAGGATGTCGATATCGGGCATGGCGGACGGCAGCGCTTCTTTCGATGATGATGATGATGATGACTGCTGTGTCGCCGCGTCTGTTGCAGAGGCAAGCTGCTCCTCCAACGCAGCAATCTCCCGGTTCAGGCTGACGATGATGGTGGCGGTGGTGGCGGTGGTGGAGTTTTGGTTTGGTTGATGGGATGATTTTCAAGACGGTAATACCAACACAAACCCGCACGCGCACGCGCACACACGCACACACACGCGCGCGCACACACACACACACACAAACACACACACACACGCACGAACACACACACACACACACACACACGCACGCACGAACACCAACGCACGTGTTCATCTTGTCGACGTCTGAGGCGTGTGCGGCGTGTCTGCTCTCTGCCGATGCGAGGGCCGGGTCCGACGAGAGGCCAACAACGTGCCCAGAGTACGTCACAACAACAACCTAAATTCAATTGGTGTCGATGATGGCGAGGGGCATCAGGGGATGTGACCGACCACAAATGCCGGGTTGATGTGGTTTGACCACAAAGCATGGTCTTGTGCTTCCATTCCATAAACATCAAGAATTGTTGTTCTGAACCATCAAGTCATCGCCACCACCGCCATGGCAAACGCGTGACACAATGCTGCTGTGTCACTTCTCACCTCGGCGTGGTCTCTGCTCGACACACGCGCACCAGCGATGGACGTGATCGTGGAGCCCACGCTCTGAGATGGTGGTGGTGGTGGTGGTGGTGGTGGTGGTGGTGTTGGTGAAGGGATGATGAAGTGGGGGCGGTGAATGGGGTGGGATGGGTAAGCAGAAAGTAAGCAATGCACACACACACACACACACACACACACACACACACACACACACACACACACACACACACACACACACACACACACACACATACACCATGATCCCTCACCGTCTTGTGGACGAGTGTTGGCGGGCCGGCCGTGTCCACTTCGCCGTCCTCTTCAAAGGTGTACACCTCCACAGCACCGTCACTTCGACCAACCAGCACGTTTGGTGTTCCGCTGCCCATCACATCGTACGTCGCAATCGCCGTCACGGAGGCAGCCTGATCCAGGCCCCGGTGCACCCATACCACCTCAAACCCGTCCCTGCAAAGCGTGTGCCGCGCGCGTGTGCCGTGTGTGATGTGATTACGTGTGGTGTCCTTGCATACGGCACAGCAACGACCACAAGGAAGCCTCCGCCTCTCAAAGCACACACACACACACACACTCAAAGCACACACTCAAAGCACACACACACACACACACACACACACACACAGACACAGACACACACAAGGGCACCGAACAGACGCCACATCATGCCCACCTGCCGAGTTCGATCATGGCAAACGTGCCATTCGCCGCGCCGACGAGCACGGTGCCCTTGACGGAGGACGAGGGGTCGTCGAAGCAGCACAGGCACTCGGGGACATCTGGCAGGTCCGCATACACCACAACACGCGACCCCTGGCAAGGTGAAGAAGGGAAGGGGTGAGGTGATTGGAGGTGTCGTGGTTCTACCGCACAGGCGCCAACAGAGGTGTGTGTGTGTGTGTGTGTGTGTGTGTGTGTGTGTGTGTGTGTGTGTGTGTGTATGTGTGTGTGTGTGTGACGTGTTTACCTCGAGCACTCGTAGGCTGCGATCAGAGCAGGCAAGCACCGGGAGCTTGTGTTTCGTGCTGTCGATGGCAACATGACAGCGGGTCGATGCAGGTGTGGATGTGAACGCGTGCGCGTGGGGAAATGAGTCAATTGGTACGGGTTCGTGAATGCATCATCATCATCATCATCAGCAGCAGCAGCAGCAGCAGCAACAACAGCAGCGGTTGAGTGATAACAACGAGAACAAGAGCAAGAACAAGAACAGCAGCAGCACCTAGCAGTGGGTGCGCCGTGCTGGCTCGGAAGGTGGATGGCAACCATGTCCCTGATGGTGTCTGATGCCATGTACGAATGCTCGTCCTTATTGTTCACGAAATGCGTGTACAGATACTCTCCAGCCACTTGAATGTGTCCATCACGCAGGCACCTACAAATGTGTGTGTGTGTGTGTGTGTGTGTGTGTGTGTGTACGTGTGTGAGCTCATTAAGAGCCGTCCATTTTGATTGTGTTGCATGTCAAAGGCATTACCGAATCAACCCACACGTGCATGCGTAAATGCACACACACAGACACACACAGAGGCACATGGGCGCACATTGCGTTGATGGCCTCCGTCATGTATGTCGTCATTGTGAAGAAGTTCTTTCCCTTCTTGCTGTACCCGCGGACCTGGCCGCCGCAGCACGCAAAAGCTCGTGAGCACACAGCCATCAACAAACACACACACACACACAGTCATCAACAAACACACACACACACACGCACGCACACACACACACAGCCATCAACGCACACGCACACACCCAGCCATCAACGCACACACACACACATACAGCCATCAACGCACCCCCCCCCAAGAACAACCACGCCTCTTCACCACCGCAACCATCACCGCATCCATCCATTCCTCCATCACATCAAGTCATCGTTGCGTGAAGGGAGCAACCGACCTCGGACCCAGCAGCGACGAAGGCGCGGTCACCAAGCATCTCCAGTCGTGTTATTGCCGTGCCGCCAAGCGTCTTGAATAGGACCTGTGTGCGAATGCCGTGTGTGAGGGGGGCGTGTGGGATTGAGAGGAAAAGGCGATGACACACATGCAAGCAGCATGAGTTAGAAATGGCGTCCATTCCAGCACCTGATGTGCATCAGCCACACACACACACACACGCACACATGCTCCACTGCATCTCTGTCCTACGCACAACGGGGTGTTGCTTCTTGATGCCAAAGCATGTCAGGACGCCATCGTTGTCGCCAACAATAACCTGGCAACGTTCACAACAGCACACAGGGAGTGGCACAAAGGCAAACGCGTGTCAGCGGTAACAGGCTTCTTCAGACCAACACCCAAATTAGAGACACAGCAAGCCATGGCAAGTCAAGCATCCACGCATGTCCACGTCAAAGGCCATGCAACCTTGTCTGGCCTTCCAGAGGACGACGGGATGATGCCAAGCGTGTGTTTTGCAGTGTTGCCAATCTATGTGTGTGTGTGTGTGTGTGTGTGTGTGCGTTTGTGTGTGTGTGTGCGTTTGTGTGTGTGTGTGTGTATGTGTGTGAGTTGGAGCATGGCAACGGACAAGCCAAGGAAATGTCAGTGGGTCAGACATGCTTAATTCGACAAGGACAGCAGCGCACAAACGTTACAGCACTCCCAATGCCACCCATCCCTACCTGAATGTATTCGATTGGCGTCAAGTGAATCACATCCATCCCTGCAGTCGCGGGAAGGGGGGGGGGGATGGAAGGGGAGACGCAAAGCAAGCGGTTGGTGTTGTTCGTCGTTGTTGTTCGTTGAGATGGACGGAAGTGCGGACAATTTGCGTATATCTTCAGGGAATAATATCGGTTGTTGCTGGCTGTTGTTGTTGTTTGGTGTTTGGTTGGTTGAAGTTGCTGTTGTGGCTGCTGTGTGGTGCTGTCGTGCCATGCCACGCACACACACGCACACACACTCTCACACACACACACACACACACATTTCATGCCAAGCTGCTGCTCTCATTCGGTTAACACCATGTGGTCGGTTCGACTACCATCCATCAGAAAAGCAACACACACACACACACACACACACAGACACACGCGCATCACATGCATTCATACAGAACACGAAAGCTAATTGATTGCACTACCAACAGCCAGCGACACAGAAGAACAGGCCACACATACAAGCAAGCACACAGGCATACGACGCATCAACGCCAACGGCTATCCCACACAACCACATCAAAACAGACAACATTCCTTCCAGAAGCAACATGGGCCAAGCGTGTGCGATCACATCACGTCACACCACGTCACACCGCGTCACATCAGATGACGTTGGGGCATCCGCCCTTCTTCTTGTCGTCGTGCTTAAACGCCTTGACGAGGATCTCTGTTGTGCGCGGGAACGGCACGTGCGCCTCCTTCACGCACGACTGCAACATGCCCTGGTCCTTCAGCAGGCACTTGCCGTCAATCGTCTTCACGCGCGTGTTGATGCGCCACGTGCAGTTGTTGGCCAGGCTGAGCTTCTCCCCCGGTGGACACAGCCCAGACTCCGGCAGCGAGAACCACGAGCCGACGTCAGTGTTGTTGGTACACTGCCCGCCGCGTGTCTTGATGCCAAAGGACGCCTCACGCCCCACGGGCGGGAGCTGGTCCCCGATGCACGCGCCAGGGTACCCGTTGCATTGCTGCCATGACGTGATGGTGATAGCGGTGGTGGTGGTGGTGGTGTGTGTGTGTGTGTGGGGGGGGGGAGGTCAGTGGAGGACTTGGTGGTGGAGAGGAGATAGAGATGATAGATGCGTCAAAGGTGCAGTTCACAGTGATGATTAAAAATTAACACGAGAAGCATGGACAAGGAGGGGTTGAGGCAAACGCCAAACAAACATACGCACACACACACACATGTGCACACACACACACACACACACACATACGCACACACACACACACGCACGACCACAAACACGCACACACATACAGCACGATGAATAGCGCACCTCGTACTGGCCCCACTTGTTGACGACGTCGATCTTGTAGTGGGACACGTACTCGTACTGGTCCTGGCTGGTGTGGTTGCTCAGGGCATCTGTGCAGATGAACACAACATCGCCAAGCAGGTCAGCCACATCCTGCAGACAGGTGCACGGGTTCAAGGGAGGGGGCGAGGTTACAGAGTGTGGGGAGCAACGGCGTGAGAGGCTCTGCTTCGTCACTTGACAGGACACAACACATATGTGCACAGCACAGCATGAAGAGCATAATTGACAAGGAAACACACACACAAACATACACACACAAACACACACACAAACACGCATGCACACACACACTCTCTCTCACGCACGTGCACACACGCACCTGGTTGACAATGTCGCCGGTTGTGTTCTTTGGGTGGAAGATGTACGCGTCCAGCGTCTCGACCTCCTCGGGGCCGGGGCACACCTCGGGCGTCTCCTGATGACCAACCAGTGGTGGTGGTGGTGGTGTAAACGGGGCGCGCATGTGTATTGGAAGGCTTCGTGTGTGTGCACGCACTCACACACACACACACACACACACATACACACACACACACACACACACACTTTTCTGCACACACACACACACATGCACACGCAGTGAGCAACTTCACACTGCACAGTCGCGTTGTCGCACGTTGCACTCGTGTGGAGGGTCAAAGATGCTCTTGTCAAAGGGGTCCGGGTGGGGTGCAAAGTCTTTGTGAAACACAAACGACTGCGACTGTTGGAAGCAAAGAACACGTGTTGTGTGAGTTGCAAGGGGGTGAAACCCGGTGAGTCTGAGGTTGGAAAGGAATACAGTACACACGCATTCATAGATACACAAGTACACACACACACACACAGGCACACACAGGCACACACACACACACACACACACACACACACACACACACACACACACACACACACACACACACACACACACACCTAGTCGTACCGCAACACGCCGCAGCGAAAATTGTACACCTAGTTGGGTTACTTCCCCTAACTTCGGTAAGTATACGGCGTATCCTGACCCAAAACCCAATGGTCCTTGAGCGTTCGAGAAATGGTAACCCACATCGGAACTGCAGGCTCACGAGCCGGAAAATCCACACGAGTGGGACCTTTAGTGACCAAGGACACACACACACACACACACACACACACACACACACACACACACACAGGTACGCATGTACACACACACACATACACACACACACACAATGGCAGACAAACGAACGGTCTTTGTGGAGTCGGAGTAGACGGACTGGAGGACGGGGGTGTTGCCGTCGGTGCACATGGTGAGGGTGGCCGTGGGCGCAACAAACAGCCACTGGTCGCACGTGCGCCCGTCAATCTGGAGCTTGCCTGCAAGCACGGATAAACGCAGTGGAATGGGGAAAGACGAAGCCGTTGGGGGTGTGCAACAACAGCGCACATGCCTGTTCAGCTGCATCCACACACACACACACAGACAACACACACACACACACACACACACACACACACACACACACCAACCTTGGTACTTTGTTTTGGAGGACCTGACCCAGTCGAACATGTCGTAGAAGGTGCCGTCTCGGATGGGCTTGCACACGTCGTTGGCGACGTAGTACATGACATCCTGGTGGCCAAAGAACATGGGTGCAGTGGTGGCGTCAATGAGCACAGTGTCACCATCGTCATCGTGGTTGGCTCCACTGGCGTAGCAGTAACATAGAAAGGGAGCCAGAAAAGGAGCAAGTGCACGCTCATGTAAACACATACACACATGCATGCACGTGCACACACACACACATGTACGTGCACACACACACATGTACGTGCACACACACACACATGCATGTACGAAAACGCACCGGCAGGTAGTAGAAGCTGGTGTTGAGCGTGTAGCTGGTGATGGGCTCCAGTCGCGATGTGTTGTACATGGCGTTCTGCAATGACACAAGGAAGGCATGTGTGAGCGAAAGATATTCACAGACGGATACTGCACACACAGAATCCAAAACACACACACACACACACGCACGCACACAACAATGACCAATAACAACAACACCTTGTTTTCGAGGTCGTAGAAGAAGAGGCCCTCGCCCTCTGGAAAGTCATTGGCGATGGCCATGATGGACGATTGAAAACGGGGTGGGACCTGCGGCTTCTTCGGATCAGCTACTGCCTCGGAGCCATCCGAGAGGCGCACAATTTTCATGTTCGTCGCGCGCTGGAGTGCGTGCAGATCCAAAACGTGCGCTGCCGCCGCTGAGGGTGTTGCCAGTACAACACACATGAGCGCCAGTGCTGCTGTAGCCGCACCCACACCAGTTCCTGCCATCTTGTTTGTTTTCACACGTCCAACGTCCGGTCGCTGCTTGTCGTCGTCGCTGCTGTGATGATTGCTGGCGGTGGTGGTGGTGATGACAGTGAATGCTGCTCCTTCCTCCAGTCAACAGCAACAGGTTGTGTGGCTGTCGTATTGGTTGTAGAAAATAAGAGAATGTTTCCAACAAATTTTCCACACTCGCGAAAACAACGCAGCAGCAGCGGATACGAGAGACAAGCAAGAAGAAAGCACACACACACACACGAGCACAAGCACACGGACGAAGATGGGCGGGTTGAAGGTTGATCCAGCGATTGAGCGATGGGGTGCCATGCGCGAGACAACCGTGCGGCACTTCCGCATCACACCCAAGACGGCACGACAGGGGTTCTTGTGGGGTTTGGTTGTGCCTCTCATCATCTACGAGGGCGCCATCTCTGAGATGGTGCGTGTTTGTTGTTGTTGTTGTTGTTGTTGTGCGTGTTTGTTGTGTTGTGTGTGTGTGTGTGTTTGCATGTGTGTGTTTGTTGTGTGTGTGTGTGTTTGCATGTGTGTGTGTGTTTGCGTGCGTGTGTGTGTTTGTGTGCGTGTGTGTGTTTGTGTGCGTGTGTGTGTTTGTGTGTTCGTGTGCTTGCGTATGCGGAATGTTGTGATTACTTGCATTCGCATGTGTACGCCTTTGTGTTTGCGTTTGTGCTGGTTGAGTTGTAATCGTTATGTATGTTCACTTGCGTTGGTTGTTGCCGTCATTCTCTTCCATATCTCGCGTTTCCGCACCACGTCACCTCACACGCGTCTCACCTCGCCTCGCCTGCACGTTGTTGCAACCCCCTCCCCCTCCATATCACCCTCGTGAGCAGAAGAAGCGCGCCGTTGCTCGGGGAGAGGAGGTGCCCAAGTTCCCGTCCTTCTTCCAGTGACCACCCGTCACCGTTCATGTTGGAGAACTTGTGTCACGTATTGAGTGGAGTCGTGCTTGTACTGTTTTGAACGAGCGTTGCGTTCTTGTGTGCTGAGCCGCATCTTCTTGTTGTATTCAAAAGGGTATGTGTGTGTTTGTGTGAGTGTGTGTGTTTGTGTGTTTGCAAATAACCCTTTTCAAGTGTTGTCGTGCCTTGTCTGTCCCCTCCCACACCCACTGTCAGTTGTGTTGGTTGTGCTGTTCGTGTCGTTGTTTTCAACCTGTCTGCCCTTTGACAGCAATAAAAGCATCACCCCAAGCTCAAGCCAGACCATCACCATGCTGTGTACAGCACGCGGAAAGAAACACATTGACATGCAACGCGACTGCTACCCCAACATATCATGTCAATCCATGCACGCATCGTGTGATGTACAACACCGCAAGCGAATGCGGCGTCTCATTGTCCGGTTTCTGGTTGCCTAACCCCCCAGTCGCCTTTACACCACCATCACCATCACGACCACCACTGCCGCGTGTCACGCCATGACGGTGGTGCGGGTGAGCTGCTTGGTGGGGGTGTGCAGCACTTTCGTTGCACGTGAGGGCGATGTGGCTGTAAAAGATGTTCGCGAGTACATCACCACCTGTAGCAGGATGGATATGTCCACACCCACCTGCAGCAACCCACACACAAAGAACTGTGTGTGTGTGTGTGTGTGTGTGTGTGTGTGTGTGTGTGTGTGTGTGTGTGTGTGTGTGTGTGTGTGTGTGTGTGTGTGTGTGTGTGTGTGTGTGTGTGTGTGTGTGAACGACCAGCTGCAGCAAATCGACGGCCGTCCCACTCACCTGTAATTGCCACCACCATCACCTCCTCACCATCTCCACCACGCCATCAGCGAGCATTTTGCTTCACACCTGTGTCGGAGCGGAGCGCAGCACAAAGTAGGTTGTCTTGAAGATGTCGCCCGAGAGCCAGCAGCCAACCATGGCCACGCTGTATTGGAGGGAGGGAGGGAGGGTAATGAGTGGTGAAGGAGTGGGGCATGTGGGTTGAGATGCGGGCAGTTTTGGTCGAGGCAGGATCTTAGACGACGCAACTAGATAATATGAGCACGCACACACACACACATGCATGCACACACACACACACAAACACACGCACACACACACACACACACATACACAAACACACATGCGCACATCCCACAACGTCACCGCGACGCACCTCATTCCCTCTGTGCTCTTGTTCTTGAAGTTGTTGACAAACTGGGGCAGGCCAAGCGATGCCTCCAGCAGCAGCGACACCAAGCCAACCGTCTCCACAAACGCGGGCACCCCAATCATGATGAGCGTGGCCGAGCCAGACACGACCGCAAACAGCAGCACCGCCGTCACGTAGTCCTTGAAGTGCGCCCACCGCCAGAACGTCTTCAGATCAATCGTGCCTGACCATGTGTGTGTGTGTGTGTGTATGGGTGTGTGTGTGTGTGTGTGTGTGTGTGTGTGTATGGGTGTGTGTGTGTGTGTATGGGTGTGTGTGTGTGTATGGGTGTGTGTGTGTGTATGGGTGTGTGTGTGTGTGTGTGTGTGTGTGTGTGTGTGAATGTGTCTCAAGCGAC